CMMCCCCCMMCYKGSYGCACCCTCCTGTCAGGGAGTTTGGAGAGTGAGGGTCCTTTTATCCAGGCTGAGACCCCCCCAGTTGGGGGAGCTGCTCTGTATCAGACATGTGTTCCAAACCTTCCCCACAGCCCAGTAGTGACACGGCTCCTGGCTTAGTGAAGTGAGGAGAGAAGCAGAGAAAGGCTGGAATAAGAGCATGGAGGCTATGGTTTTGGAGAGTCAGCTTTGGAGAGGTGTGAGGCAGGATGAGGGATGGAGCAGCAGCCTCAGATTGCTCAGAGCTCTGCCTGGGAGATGCTTTTTGCTGAGTACATGGAGCTTCATCTGCTCTTGGGTTTGTAGACAATGGAAATCGTAGGTGAAAATTGTGACCTCACCTTTTTCTCTCCTCTGCCAGGAGTACCCAACCCTCACCACGTTCTTYGAAGGTGAAATAATCAGTAAGAAACACCCGTTCCTAACGCGCAAGTGGGACGCTGATGAAGATGTGGATCGTAAACACTGGGTAAATAAATYTGGGGGCAGGGGGTGAGTCTGAGCTGCTGGTTTGGAGGAGGTGCAGCGTGTTCCCATGCAAGAGCTGGCAAAAAGGCCTGGAGACCTCTCATTTCTGGCTGTCTCACTCTTCCCCCCACTGGGATCTTTGCAGATAGAGGTCCCTTCAGTGAGCTGTGATCTGTGATGAGGGAGGGGATGTCTTGTTTTCTACTTTTTGGCCCTGGGGTTGAAGGGAGCAAGAGCAATTCCCATCTCTTGACCCCCTAGTAGAACACACTGCTTATTTTTGGGGGCTTGCTGTGGAATGGAGAAGGGGAGAGGGATCCCACTAGTACAGGTAGGGCAGTTGGTACCCAGGGCATGGTGTACCTTCTGCTGTGTTTTGGGGCCACAGCAACCACCTGATTGTCTCCCCACCTTGACCTTTGCTGTGGTTTGCCAGGCTTTGGTGTTTATTATTTTTTTGTCAAAATATTTTCCTCTGGAAGTGCAGGACCTTCTCCATCCAGACTAGATATGGCTATGGGTATCTGTAGTTTTTCCCTCCTAAATAGCAGCTGGTACTAGGAGTTCTATTCCTGGAAGAAGCATCCTTTTATTTTATTTTATTTTATATTTTTGTTTCAGGGAAAGTTCCAGGCTTTTTACCAGTATGCAAAAACATTTAACTCTGATGACTTTGATTATGAAGATCTAAAAAATGGGGATTATGTCTTCATGAGATGGAAGGTAAACCGTGCCTGTCTCCTTCTCTGATGAGCTGCTTGCAAGGCACTGACAGAAACTTGAGGTGTCTGAGAGCTTTTCCAGCTATGATGGTTTAATGAAAGATCTCACCCTGCCAACACCAAAAAACCACTGTACTTGCGAGTTCCAGTGCAACTCGTGTCTAGCTAATTGTGTCCTCAAGGGCTGCAGTCATGGCTAAAGACACAACAGGAAAATCTTGCTTGGTGATGCTCCAGAGGATGGGAGAATTGCTGTCTCCAGTCCATGTGGGGCCTGTGTGTCTGATGCAGTCTGTTCTTCAGCTGGGATCRTCAYAGAGTCACCATAGAYTGGTTTGGGTTGGAGGGGACCTTMAAGATCATCTTGTTCCACCATCCTGCCATGGGCAAGGGACACCTCCCACTATCCCAGGGTGCTCCAAGCCCCACCCAAYCTGGCCKTGGATGCTCCCAGGGATGGAGCARCCACAGCTTCTCTGGGCYTCCCCACCCTCACAGRGAAGRATTTATTCCCAATACCTCATCTAACCCTGCCCTCTGTCAGTTTGAAGCCATTCCCCCTTGYYTTGTSACTCCGTACCCTTGTGCAAAGTCCCTCTCCAGCTTTCTCATAAGCTCCCATAAGTGTTGCAAAGCGGCAGTAAGATGTCCCTGGAGCCTTCTTTTCATTCTCAGGCTCTTACTCCTAGTTTTGCAATTGGCTTCTGGCTTGCAGGGCACAGGTGTTGAACTGAAACTGATGTCTTCCACTCTTAAAACTGGTTCTGTTCTCAGTTATCTGCTTCCCTGTCAGGTGCCTGCAGTGGCAGGTGGTGAAGGGACACTGTGGTCTCTGCTCTGTGCTGCAGAGAGTGCAGGGAGTGCTCAGCCAGGAATGTCTTCATGTCTTCAGTGGGTGCCAATATTTGGTTTGGGAGGGCAGGTTGGGGTGGGGCTGTATTAGACCAACATTTTAAAATGAAGCCTGTGTTTTGTGTGCAGGAGCAGTTCCTAGTCCCAGATCACACCATCAAGGACATCAGTGGTGCTTCCTTTGCTGGTTTCTATTACATCTGCTTCCAGAAGTCAGCAGCATCTATAGAGGGCTATTACTACCATAGGAGTTCAGAATGGTAAGGAAGCTTCCTGCCTCCTGAAGACTCAAACCAAGCTGTGACCCTCATGCTTGTCCACCACCTTGGGAGTGTCTGGGCAGGAGTTTCAGGCTGGTGCTTGGACCTTGGGGCAGAAGGGAGGGGTGTGGGCCATGGCTGGCCTAAACAGGCCAGTGCAGCCCATTGGTGTGGTATAAAGTGCTGCCCTTTTGGAAAAGGGGGGAAATATGGGCTTACAGGGTGGAGAAGGGAAGATGATACAGGGCCTGGAGAATTGCTATGAGGGTGCTTGCTTCTCTCTCCTAAGGAGCAGCTTGGCTGTTACTCCCTTCAGGCAGAAATCTTGTCAGGCCAGTGCTTCCCATTCTAGGGTCCTTGGGGTGTCTTAACAAGGTCCTGGTTAAGAGAACAGTCAAAGCTAATTGTTGGGGTTTTTGTTGGAGACAAGTAGGTGTGGAGAGCTCTTTTCCCTTGGATCATTGTCATGAGCAGCAGGTGGATGGCTGGAAGCGCTCAGGGGGAGGGAAGAAACCAGGAGGCTTTCAGACACATCCCCTCAAGCTGAGCTTTGAAAGACTCAAGTCTAATTTGCACTTGTAGCAAACACTGTTTGAACTTGAAAGTTGTTTAACTTCAAAGGTGTCCAAAAAACCACCATAGTCAGCCCACCTGGAAAGCTGTGTTGCTGCAGGTGGCTCAGAGGAGTGGGAATCACAGGATCATTAAGGTTGGAAAAAAATRTCCAAAATCATCAAGTCTAATCTTTGACCATTAACATTATTATCACCATTCCTGTTAAACCCTAAGCATCATATCTGCCTGTTTTCTGAACACTTTGAGGGATGGCAACTTCACTATTTCCCTGGGTAGGCCATTCCAGGGCTCAGCTGCTYTTCTAGTRAGGAATTTTTTCCTGATATCCAACTTGTCCCATCATTAGTTGCTCTCTTCATGGGAGAAGAACGGCCGTCACCTGGCTCCACCCTCCAATCAGGGGATTGCAGAGAGTCATGAGGAGCRATGCTGAGTCCTGTCAGGATTTTGGCACTGTGGGAAGTGGGTGTTGGAATCCTGAACACTCTGGGACTGTAAAGGGGGAGAGAATTGCAGCCAGCACAACGTTTGCTCTGTGGCTGCCAAGCAGGAGCTCCATGTAATCCTCTTCTCCCTCTCTTCTTCTCTGCCAGGTATCAGTCATTGAATTTAACGCACGTTCCCGAGCACAGTGCTCCTATCTACGAATTCCGATGACAGCTGCCCAGATCTGATATCACCCAGACRCAAAGCGGGCAGGAGAGCATGGCCTGCCAGGAGAACTGTTCCCTGTGGGAGCACGGGAATGCACGCTTCTCTCCTGCCCCTTGGACTCGAGAGAGAGAGAGAGCCTGGATGTTAACTCACCCAGCCCGAGGAGCTGCTGGAGCTTGATTCTCCCTCCTGTCGAGTGGCCATTTGATCTTTACTCTGGTTTTAAGCTACTTTAATGCACTTTCTTGTTGCACAGCTTGTTTCTCTGTCACTGAAGTTCCTCCCAGCTCTCCTCTGGAAGCTGTTTCTCAGTAGCTGGAATCAGTGCTCTGGCCTCTGAGTAATAAGGAAATGTAAGCTATGGGCTTATATTTTCCTTGTTTTATCCTGATGTGGGTTGAAATCACCAGGATTCAGGTTTCTTGCCCAGATTTCCAGCTCTGATGCTCCCAGAGCCAGGTCCTGGGTGTGAGGCTCAGCTGTGGAGTCTGTTAGGGAGTGTTGGCTGAGATAGGGCTGGAATGAGGCTTTGCTGGCTAACGAGGTTAGCTGGAGCTGCAGATCTTTCAGGAACGCCAGCCCTTTGGAGCTGGGAGCTGTTCTGGTGTCTGGATATGCCATTGGGAATTAATTTGATGTACGGACTTCCAGGCTCTCAGTAAAGTGGATCTGAACTCTGCTTCTAGGTGTATATTTRCTCTTTACTTAAGTTAAGGGTAAAAAAAAAAARRWWAAAAAAAAGACAAAAAAAAGRCTTTTATTAAAAAAAAATCTATTTTTATGGTTCCTTTTCCAAAGGACCCTATGGCAAATGCACAAGTACTCGATTCCATGTTACTGTTTTCACATTGAAAACCAGGAATGTCTGTGTTTTTATATCCGTGTATGTATCCAGCTAAGCTTTGGGAACGTAACCCGAGTGCAAGCGCTGAGCAGCGTCGCCCTGGGACCGCTCAGCGTTTGTACTCCCCCTTCATGCTTCACCACCACTGCTTGACAACCTTTTTACAAGGAAAAACAAGAAAAAAGTTTTAAAAAAGCCCCTTCCCAGTAGCTCCCTCTGACTTTGAATGTTCCAAGTGACATAACTTAAGGCTCCTGTGCCAAAGCGTGTGTGTGTGTATGCGTGTGGGGTGGTTTTTTTACAGACACTTTAAAACTTGGCCTCAGTTGTGTTTTTACCATGTCAGCCCCACCTGTGGGGCTTTGTGAAAGTTTAGTTTGCCTTTTCTGGCTGTTTCAAAGCTCAACTTCCTCCAAGCAGAYGCATGGCACGGGTGGTGCTGAGGATGGATTTTCCACCTGGGAGAGGGGATCAAAGTCTCTGTGTGCCAGCGCTGAGGTGCTTTGGGTTTGCTTCTTTTTAACTAACTTCCTTTTTGGCAGCAGTTATCGCTTGTTTAAGCCTTAAGGAGGAAGGGTTCAGGCTTCAGAGAGCCCCTTTCCTCTATTCCAAGTTGGGATCTTGCATGATTGGAGGAGCAGCTGGGCCAGTCTCGGGAGATGATGCGGAATTCGCCCACCTCGCGTGTGCTGCTCTCCGTGGATCAGTCCTCCCTGGCACACATGGAGAGAGATGCAGGGAGAAGGGGGAGACCTGGCCCTTCCCAGGGAGTGTGTGCCGGTGTCTTGGCTGTTGCTGGAGGATGTGTAGGGACAGTTCAGAGGCCATTTGGGGCTGCAGGGCAGTTGGGAAGTGTGTTCTTGTTTTATTTTGCTCCTCTCAGAGAAACTCAGCCCCTTTTGGGGAGAGGGGTTTCCTCACRGATGGTGCTGGAGATGTCCTGGTTTTAGAGGTGAAAACCGGTGGTGCTGCTCCACTGTGACCAAGTGTGGGGGTGAAACCTCCTTCCCAGGTGCTGTGTGAGTGCAGGGACCCAGCTCCAGTGGCTCATCCCAGCCCTCCAGAGCTGTCTGTGCAATACTGGTGGTGGCACCAGCGTCCCTGTGCTCCCCAGGGCTGTCAGTACCAGTGGGACGCTTGGATTTCTGACATGGTTTAGTTGAATTAACCCTGCTCGTTGGCAGAAGCTGAGTTAGGAGSGTCCTGGGGGTGTTTAACATGTGTAACTATCCCTAAACCAATGATTTATTTTTTTTAAGACTTGATACGTGGTGAGAAGGGTGTGGAAAGAGCATCCTGCTCTGTGCCTGTCTTCTTCCCTCCATCCTGAAGGCAATTTCAGCTTAGATCCAGAACTGGATCTAGATATGATGTGTGGCAGGTGCAGAGCAGGTCGTGTAGCCGAGGGGTTTGCAAGGKCTGTTGGTGTGTCCTCCTCAAAAGCCTTTGCTTTGGTTTTTCCTTTTCTTTGACTTGTTTGAGCTGAGGGGAGATGTTCTGTACGTCGTGGGGTGGTGAGCGAGAACAGCCCAGGGGAAGATTTGTGTGGCAGAGGTGAGAAATGGGGTGTTTGGTTTTGGGAGAAGTTGTGGTGTCTCTTGAAGCGCTCTGGCTGCAGCGGGGTGTTCCTGTGGGGGCAGAGGGTGTCCGTGTGGGAGCAGATGGAGTGGGGGCCGAGGAGGTGTTTTGTGGAGCGATCAACGTCCAAATTAAACATGAACTGTATTAAAGGGGTCTGTGTCCGTGTGTGTTTGTCCAGCACAGCGCTTCCCGCGTCCAGGGCGGTGGTGTGCTTCATCTCCCTGCTTGAGGACTTCTCCAGGAATCCCATCAGCTTCTGATGGCCTTAATTCACAGACTCTCAGAATCATTAAAGTTGGCCAAACCCCTGAGAACATCGAGTCCAACCTGTGACCAATCTCCACATCATCACTTGCTGGGATTTAGTGCCAGTGCCATGACCACTCTTTCCTTAAACACCTCCAGGGATGGGGACTCCACAACCTCTCTGGATAGCCTGTTCCAATATCTAATCATCCTTTCCGAAAGCAATTCCTCCTGATGTCCAACCTGAACCTCCTCTGGCCCCCTTGAGGTTATTTCCTCTTGTCCTGCCACTGATTGCCTGGGAGAAGAGCCCGACCCGCCCCTGGCTCCACGCTCCTTTCAGGATTCACGTTTAATTAGAGGAGCAGCAGGAGGCAGTCCCGGTGGGAGGCCTCCCCTTGACACCCACCCGTTTTCTGASACTTTTCCCTGCCAGCATCTCCCTCCGTAGCCTGTTGTCCCCGCATCTCTCGCACCCACCCGGGGCCGTCTCCCCGGGAGCGCTCTCGGTGTCCCGCGGTGGCGGCGGGCGGAACCCGGGGCGCGGGGCTCGGGGTGCGGCCGGAGCGAGCAGGGCGGCGCTGCCCGGACGCGTGACGGGGGCGGACGGCCGGGCTGGCGGCGCTTCCGGCGGGAGCTGAGCGGGGCCCGCCATGGGCATCCTGGAGAAAATCTCGGAGATCGAGAAGGAGATCGCCCGCACGCAGAA